TAATATTTTAAAATGAGCGTACCCCGCAGCCTTGGTTTCAACGTCTACGAAAGAAATTGTGAAACAAAAAGAAGTGAGAAATTGAACATGTGCTCCAACCTGGTGAGCTTTTCTTGATATGATTAAACCATCCGTCTTACAATTTCATGTTCATAGTTATTCCATTGAGACAAGCCTTCGAAAAAGTCGACCGCAAAAGTTTGTTGAAGCCGTCTGAATTCTAAATGTATAGATTTTTACAAAAAAAACTTCCTGTATAAAGTTGCTGCATTTAAACAAAAGTATATTCAAACGTATCGTCTCATACGAAAATATATAATACAAATGCAGAAGCTCATGAAATGAAAGAAAGGAAAGTTTATATTTGAATAATCAAGGTTAAGTGTGTATGTGTATTTAATTGTAAAATAACATTTGACAAATTAAAGTCACTTAAAATTCCTAAAAATGTTAGAAAGATGTACTAGTTCCCTTACTTTGGATATTAAATTAAACAGAATAAAAAATCCCAAAATTCAAATATAAAAGTTAAAATTGTGAAATGAATAAGTAAGCTGTCACAGTTGATAGCAGTTGATTTCCACAAAAAATATTTTCAAGAGAAACTCAATGTGACACCGTTTGTCTTATTCATTCATTCCACAATTTTAACTTTTTATAACTGAATTTGGTGAGTTTATTCTTTAAACTTATATCCATTCTTCCAATCAAATCTCAATATCATCACTGATGAAAAAGTGTAATTTATTTCATCAAACTTTGCATGATTTAACCGACTGCAGTAAAGGTTAAGTAAGGAATTATTACACCAATACCATGTATTTAATTTAGGGGGAAATAAGTGAAACAAATACCGATAACAATTTTAACTGATTCATAACGAACGGATGCTGCTGACGTGTTCTCTTTTGAATTAATTTTCGACATGTTTACATATTCTCGTGAAAAGCACTTGCCTAAACACTATTGTTCTGACAACTGATTATGAACACATGGTTTTTAAACAAAAAAAGGAAAAGAAGAAAAATAATATATCAAGTACTTCCAAGAATACTTTGGGGGGTTCGTTACTAGTTACAAAATGTACATCTAAACCGTGGTAAAAAAAAATGCACACAATATAATTAAAAAACCAACAGATTCCTACATGTATGTTCAGCAAAGAAAACTTGGAAAGAATTTTTTATCTAAGCTCTTCCAGAATAATTTCGAAACAAGGTGGAAATAATCATCATGATCATTAACAGGCATCCAGATGCCATTATTAGAAACAAATAAAAGAATCAGAATCTACTACACACTATATAATTATTGTACTTATGTTCCCGAATATTCGTGCAATAACCCTTTTTTTTGCATGAAACAATTTGAAGTTCGTTCAAAACTCTGAGCCAATTGCAATTTGTTCCATCAAATTAAACTGTTTAAATGGTCAGATCACAAACTGGTCATACAAGCTCAGCACAGTCTATGCAGATTCCATTTATTACAAGTATACCACCGTTGGCAACTATACAACATGACAACAGTGATGACCATGACTCATCATTAGCATTATTTCAGCCACCCTTATCATCGGATCCGGATGTAATACCTGGTCAGCAGTTCCACTCAAGCTCTGCTAATGTAGACACTCCCTATGCATGTCATATGTTAAAACATTCTATACCAATAGATTTTCATGTTAGTTGTAAGCTAAAAGATGATGTTTGGGCAGACAATTATGTGAATTTTGCCTTTTTGCTGCCGTCTAATATTGAGGAAGATTCCTCAACTTTGTTTGAAAATTTTAACATCACTATTTCAAATAGGAAAAACAAAAGGGAGCTCCAATCAATTCATTAGTGAATGAATGCTTTTGACATATTTATGTCCATTTATTTAGGAAAGCCTTTGAATTCTGCTTTGGCCTTGATAAAGTATGGTTATACTATTCATGGTTTATGTAAATCTTTGGGGTTTCAAGCAGCTAAAACATATGATGAGCAATTTAGAAGGGTTAGAAAAATTCTACATTTGAGATGGGATACCATAAATGACGAGTTATGGAGGTCTGTATCTCTGACTGAACGGTCTAACGGTGTCACGTCTCAGGATAGGAGCTCCTTTATGAATACCTCTAAAAATACATTTCCAAGAAGGGTCCAACAACAATTTCAGTTCCCCATCGGCTATTTTTGGGCCTTCTGTAAGTCAGGGGAATGTACCTCCAAAAACTGTAAACTTAAACACCAGTGTGTCCATTTCAGCAATGAACATTGTACCCTCACTTGTACAGAGGGCCAAGTTAAACGAGCAACCTCTGCCAAACCTTCCTTCTCCGGTAAAAGTTCATGAATTAAATAAATATTTATCGGGTTACAATCAACAGTTGAAAGAGAAATTGATACATGGTTTTACACATGGGTTTTCAATAAATTCTTCTTTTTCAAGATCTGAATTAAATTTTCCTCGAAATCATAATAGCGCCAGAGAAAATCCAGTTGTAGTACAATCAAGAATTGAAAAAGAATTAAAGTTGGGGCGTATTAAAAGTCCCTTCAAAAATGCACCTTTCCCTAATTTTGTTTGTTTCCCTTTAGGGTTATTTCCAAAGAAAGAGCCGAATTCATTTAGATTAATTCATGATTTGTCCTACCCTCAAGGAAATTCAGTTAATTCTGGTATTTCTCCAGAATTTTCAGCAGTGCAATACCAAAATATTGAGACAGTTATAGAATTAGTCCAGTTGTATGGTTCACGGTGTCTAATGGCTAAAAGTGACATTAAAGACGCATTTTGCTTAATTCTAATTCAGAAAAGGATCATCATTTATTAGGATTTCAGTGGGATAGTAAATATTATTATGACGCATCTCTACCAATGGGGGCATCCTCGTCCTGTCAGTTATTTGAAGCTTTTTCAACGGAAATTGAAAATTGATAGTCTGATTCATCAATTGTTTTATGAATTTATGTCATGCAAAATTGAAATAAGTTGTGATTCTTAAAAGCTTAGAAAATATTTATGAAAACATACAAGTAATTTGAGTTATGACCCTTGACCTTTGTCAACCTTCTTAATTCTGTGAATTTTAGAAATTCAGACTGGTTCAAGAGTTTACTCTTATTCAGTTATATATTGAATGCAAAAGTTTGTACCTGCATTTTCTAAAGTGCAATATTTTGAATAGATATGCTGTTTATTCTTTTGTAGATACATTGTACTTCGTTTTTTCTTTTGTGCACAGATACGCCGTTACAGTGTGGTATTTTGATGAAAAAGAGCTTGAAGCAGCAGACCTGGACCAAATGAAAAAGTGTGTCACGTTTGTCATGTTAAGATGTTTCTCTGGATAAGTACACGTTTAGTCAAACAGTGATGTTTAACCAAAAGTGTAACTAGATAAGAAACTAGCATGTAGTGCATACAAATTCGTTGCTAAGCTCACATGGTCCGAAGAGCCAGTGTGAGCTTTTGCCATCACTTGGCGTCCGTCGTCTGTCGTCGTCCTTCGTCTGCCATCGTCGTTCGTCGTCTGTTAACTTTAGCAAAGATCTAATCCTCTGAAACTAACGAGCCAAAAATAACCAAACTTTGCCACAATCATTATTGGGGTAACTAGTTTAAAAAATGTGTCCGATGACCCCACCTTCCAACCAAGATGGCCGACATGGCTTAAAATAGGGGTAAAATGAATGATTTGGCTATTATCTTGAAAACCGTAATAGATAAGAGAAAATTTAACGGGTGCAGAATTGTTCAAAATATTGAGTTCTTACTATTGTATATTACATCTTAACTGTCAGACGACTTCTTATATGAGTTTTTGCCCTTAAAGTACCATTTTTATAGAAAAATGTTTTTACCTATTATCTTGAAAATTATAGTAGCTAGAAAGAAACTTTAGATAACAAATAGGACCAGCAAGACAAAATCTACAAATAAGCCAACATGGTAGAAATCGTTATTCGACTCCTTATAGGATGTTTTTTTTACCAATTTTTGATGTAATCTTGAAAATATAATAGATACAGTGAAACTTTAAATACCAAAAATGATTCAAAAGGCAATATTTACAAATAAGTTGATATTGCTGAAATCATTTGTCAACTCTTTAAATGACAGTTTTTACCAATTGTTTGCGTATTTGTTTATTATGTTGAAAACTATAATAGATATATTGAAACTTTAAAAGCGAAAACGATAAGCAAAACAAGATCTGCAAATAGGTCAGCTTAAATTGAAATGGTCAGTTGTCTTCTTATAGGAGCTATAACCCGCAAAAACTATAAAAGACAAAGATAAACTGTAATCAGAAAAAACATAACAGCAATAAAAGATCAACAAAAAAGAGATTTTAGTCATGACTTACATAATAGTCTACAATGTTGAAAAGTGTCCAATGTTGAAAATGTACATAGACCTAGGTGAGCGACACACGCACTTAAAAGCCTTAACAAAATGAATTATCAGTAGTTTTAGCAATCTTCTAGAATACCAAAGCATGCTAACAAATTCATTTAAATTAACCAACGAAATGCTTCCACTTACTTTACTTAAACTGTAACCGCAAATGCCATTACATAGTTTCCATTTATATTCCATTTGAACTAACTTATTTGTAACTTTTATGCTGTCGAATCCAAGAAAAAATCCAGTAGATTGAATATGAGAGTATGATTCACATGATTGTTTTTTTTTTTGTGAATAAATGTTTTACAAAACATTTTCTGACTATTAAACATTTACAGTTTTGCTCTTTCCAGTTTTCAAGTTTGTAATACATTCAAATGATTTTTTTTCTTTCTTTCCAATGAAACAAAAATATGTGAAAAAAAAATCAATAATCTACATTTACAGTATTTTGGATAAATTATGATTAAACCATTTCAAGAACGGACATATAAAACTTATTCGTTATCAGTCATAAAATCCTTTTTTTTACCTACATCATTTTTTCATGATGTTTAAGTTTAAGTATGTACGAGGTTAATTAAATTACAGTCTTAGTAATCGGAAGGCAAGGACATCTACATTAACAGAAGACTACATCAATCCTTCAAGCTATAATTATGCTACTGTATACCAAAACAATAGCATCAAATTAATTTGATCCGATGAGTTTGTTTATTCATTAGAAAATTATCTTTAGAATACTTACTAATTTTATGTGTACCACATCCTGTGTTAATTCAATTGATTTGACAATTTCTTGTTATGTAGATTTTGCTTTTGTTTAATTTGACTATACATGTATAATTCACAATGTTCTAGTATTATTAATATAATTTAAAATATTTATTCTTTTTATAGCCATTCAAGAAACGTATGGTAACTTGGCCTTAATGGAAGTTGAGTCGACGAGAAAGGAAAAGGTAAGACAAAATACCCGTTCATCATAAAACATGTATGTCTGACATGTACCCTTACCACTATTTCTGGAATATGGAATATTCGTACATTTATATGCACCCAATTATGGCAATATGAAAAGATGTACATTATTTTTGGCCTTGTTATCGCCAGTATTTTGCATTTGCGCCATGAAAAAGACATTGTTGTTGAATAAACAGAATGTGATTTTTTAAAGATTAAAATACTGGTTATTTCAAGCATTACTCTCAAGTTAAATAATAATCAGTTAAATATTTTGAGAGAAATTCATTATAATGTAAGCCAACATCTACAGCGATTTAAGCAAAATTTCTTTGAAAAATCCAAATCATTCCGCATCATTAAAGAATATAGTGTGGACCAATAAATGATCAAATATTCATCTCTCATCTGAATAAAAAGTTGGATAAGATACAAAAGATGACTCTTAGATGATAAACACCACTAATGCACCTCTTTGTCTTCATTATAAGGTCCCTTTTGGTCCCTGTGTATCTCTCATTCCCTCTAAATTTGGATTTTTTTTACTAAAAATTCAAAATTTTAGGGTAATTACTACACATTTATGTAAGAAATGTGATAATAAATGAATAATTGAATGTTAAAACTGAATGAACCAACCATATAAGAGTTTACTGACTCCATGGAGGTTTCAATAAGTCAATTTTTGCATATTTAAGCAAATAAAATATGTTTAAACTTCAATAAGTCCTTACGTTAAACTTAAATTTACGCCACATTCCAGAGATGTACATATATTAGTTCCCTTATAGTGAATAATTCGCTTTTACTGATTCAAAAATCATTTCATATACTTGTTAGGAAAAGTTTACTTGTTAGCTAAATATAAGAAATAAGGAGAAAAAGTCGGAAAAAGCCGCCCAAAAACACTGAGTATGACTTCTCTGCATACATATATTCATGGTGGAGCCCTATTTGAAAGCATTTTTTTCTTGAAATGTGTTTATGAGACTCAATCCATTCAGAATATTTCATTTTTGAAATATTTGAGTGAAATAGTTAATAGCATGAAATTTAAAAAAATGAGAGTACATACAAGGTCAAAGGTGCATATGCTTCCCTAAATACGAGTAATACCACCATTGTTTTCCCTTAATAGTCTTTGTTAAATTGGAATTTTTCAAAAAAATGTGCAGAATTTATGTTTGTTTCAAATAAAGACATACTTTGCATGAGTAAAGTTTCATCCTGTCCAGTACTACAGTCAAAATTTCACATCATTGCACATAACATAAGATAATAACCAAAACTGGAAGTTAACCAATCAAATTTTCATCCCTTTTTTCCTGTTTACAAGCATTAGTAACCATGTTACCCCAAGTTTCCAAAATATTTTATAGAAACACTAAATATAAAAGGAATAATGCTTTGAATTTTTCAAGATATATGTTTATGACTCAGAAATGTTTTTTTCTGCAATGAAATGCAGGGTTAATTTCCCACAACTGTTAAATTCACGGGAATATTTTTTTGACCTTTTTTCGCATGAAACCGGATGTGACATACCATGATTGGTGGTATTACACCATCAACCTTTCATTTGTTCCAATAATAATATTTCATTTCCGACAATGCGATTTTGTTTATATGATTTATTGATATGGTTACAACTAATATCCCTTTTGAATGTCATCTTCCCTTGCTCCCTAAAAGGTAGGGAGTGGTATTTCGAGAAAGTTGACATACACAATAATGAGATCTGATAGGAATGCCGATGAGATAAATAAAGGTCAAAGATGTGAACAATGATAACTGGTCAGGTCAACGTACGCACTACAACAATGATCAGAACACATACCGTATAAGAAGCAATAAAAGGCTTTTGGATGACCAAATGGGAAACCAAAGGTCTAGTTTATATAACAAAAATAAAAGGAAACAAAAACAGTAATTGCAAACAGAGTTATTTTTATCACATACCTCTGACATAGAGTTGACCTATACATGTGATTGCGTAAAAAGCACTGTCGTGATTACAGATGGTTATACACGGAGCGGTATGAACAAGTCTATTCAATATCGGGATTACTTATAATCCCGGCTCGAAATGGTACTGACATATCTTTTGATTAAATATCTCAACTTAGGAACTCAACAAGGATGCATAACTTCTCTTTAAAGTAAAAGAATTATATATATATGCATTTGTGTTGGATCCATTAGCGGTCCGAGCGACACTTACGTAGACGAAACGAGCATCTGGAGTACTTGAATCTATAAGCATGGTCTCTTTGATGAGCTTTTAGGATATAATTATGCACCATGGAATCGACGATTTTGAATTCTACTTGAAAACGTGTTATACAAATATCGATTGACATGACATGTGTTTCTGGAATAAACTTCATCAGTTATAAAAAGTTAAATAGCAAAAATACTGAACTCCAAGGAAAATTCAAAACAGAAAGTCCCTTATCAAATGACAAAACACATCATGTATCTTAGAGACACAAATGTTTGGAATGAACAGAACAGAACATCTAAAACCGTGTGAGATCAACTTTTCCTGAAAGAATTGTCACTTCAGTTTTGGTACCATCGAGAACGATCTTCATTAAGCACAATGTACATGGTACATTCAATTTTTTACAGGAAACTCACAATCAAATACAAGCTTCAACGCATAGATAAAGCTAATACTAGGATATAAACTACTAGAAAATATACTATATTTTTCGAAAACACATGATTACAGAAAGATCATGCTCATACAGAATGCACGCTAATATAATATTTATTTGCGAAATATAAGCTCTTATAAATCGATCAGATTTTAAGTTTCTTATTGAATTGATGAAGGTTTTGATATTTAACATGCAATAAAAATATTTCATGCATTTATACCACATGTAGTATGCACACTTTTTCACAAGACCGACACGCTAAGGTAGACGTTAACGAGCTTGTTCATTAGTTCATAGTCAGCAGATTAAACTACCAATATGTACTTACCTGCGGTGATAATGACGTCTATCTAAGATTTGAGCTACTTAAAGTAGTGACAAGCATTTCTTGATACGATATCATTTTGAAAAATTGACCCTTGTTTTTTTGGTGTCATCTGTAAAGACCTTTCTCATAGAGGTTAGTGTATTTCTGAACTGATTTTTATTGACACATGTGTGCTCTCACTGCTCGGAGTCAGGGACGTCGCATATGTCTTTTTATGCTTTAAAAAAATTGGTGTAGTTTACAAATCTTTGTTAGTCTCTGTTAAATTAATTTACAAATTGTCTAAATTTGAAGTGATTTGAAACATGACATATGATGTTGACTTTTTTCAATTGATAAAAACCATATGCTCATGTATGTTTTATGTTAATTTGCTATTGTTTGTTTGTGTAAATGAGGTATATATACATCACATCTTTTGACATGTACATGTTCCTCAAACCGGGCACACCATTTTGACTCCGAGTCAAGCCTTCTTTGAAAACGAATATTTTTCAAACATGTACTAGTAATCGAAAACGGAAGATTAATTTGACTTACCTCCCTTCACACACAATTTAAATCTCTAACCTTTTTAGAAAGAAATTAAAGACAAGATAGAGTCTGAGACACAGCGAGTTTTAGGATCATTATCAGACGGAGAACTCGATGTAAGTTACCTGCAAGTTCAATATGTGTTATTGTCTTTATTTGCATTGTCTAGAGTTTCGAATGAAGTGTGTCATGATTTAACGCATACCTTTATGACACTCTATATTTATATGCAATTTATTGAAAATTTAGTAGCAATTAATCTTATATATTCTCACCAAAGCTGGCTCATAACTTATTTTATATTCAGACGTGCAACAAACTATTATTTCTTTTAAAAAGGATATTTTAGGCTGTAGTTTTATTATGAATCTAACCCAGAAAATGCTAAGAAATTCATTTAATAACATACGCACTTGATTCGTTCTCATTAATATAATATATTTCACCGGGAAAATTCATTTTTTGTTTTGTAAATTCATTCTCTTATCAAGCACGGAAAAAAATTGTTACTATGTTTTGATCGAATATTGCGTTTATCAGGAATTTTTTCCAAACAAATTTTGTTGGGAACATTTTGTTCCTATAATAAATGTTGGCTGGAAAAAAAATCGAATTGATACGAAACCATATAAAATTAAGATTCAATTCATCTGCATATTTTAAAGATGTTATCTGTGCTCTCTCACTAGAGATTTACAGTAACTGTTGTACTACGAGTAAGACTACTTATCATACAGGTAAACAATAGAGGATGTATAATCTTGACGATAGTTAGTATAACCGTGCTCAATTTCTGTATCAAAATGGTGTCATAAAATAAAGATATGACTAGCTTATCTAATGGAGGTTTTAGTATCTTTTTTAACCCAATGGTAATATTTCATCGGAAGTGGGGGAGGCTTTATTTATTTTTCTTCCTTAGAATTCCACAACCTTCTTATTTTTAAAACTTACAACCATATTTTCTTTCGGTTTTCTAAGCAAATTGTACTTCATCGTATAAACATTTTGAAAAAGAGAAAATAGTCCTTCACAAGTTAGATATTAAATGATTTTGTCTGTTTTATCAAGTATGTAGATGATGGAAATATATTGTAGTTTAATCTTGGAAATCGAAATATTTTTTTTTATTAATTTCAATGATTGCCAATTATATCAAACCCTTTTGTCAGACCTTTTACTTTCCACCTAAGAGTGAACTGTACTGCAGTTTTCCTGTTTTCATAAATTTCCATAAAGATATAATCCTGGATTTAAGTACTGCAAAAAAAAAATCCGAGGAGCATCTGATATGTGGCTCATTTTTCAAATAGACTTTCTAACAAATCTATGAAATTACTTAGGTAATCAGTACGCTGTAGCCCTCAGTCGAGGATTATGCCAGATAATGGGTTAAACGCAAAAAAGAAGACACTCTTTCCGAGCTTTAAAGCTGTGTTGTTGATACAAATTAGAATTTAAAAAAAACTGTATGGGTCTATGAATACATATGCTGCATCTATCTTTAAAGACACAAATGTGGTTAAAGCACCTGTCCTACCTCCATGATAAATATATTGTTGTATCTACAGACAAAGCTATAAACAACATCGTGTTTGTGTGAAAATCACATTGCATAAACTTCTTAATAAATGAACAAGGTATTGGCAATTCACTTGAAAACTCGACATATATCACCACGACGCTTACCAAGGATGAAATCCTAAATAATCATAGGTCTGTGGCTTTACAAACAACGTTATATTGTTGGGTCATCAAAGTGTTCAACGAAATCTCTTTCTAAATTATTCAAATCATTTTATCGGCAATCAAATCTAAGCTTCAAAGATATTGTGAAACTACTTACTCTAGGGGTGGTGTGAATCAGATGTGGATACTAAAAAAATCTAAAGATCTGTTAGAGTACATACATCTAATTCTCTTTCCTCTTGCAATAGTAGATAGGACATTTGATTTTTCTACCCTTTATTCAAGTATTCCGCATTCCAAACTAAAAAGACAAATTGAAAGAAGTGGTCCTGCTTTTTTCATAGAAAAGAATGGCCAACGTAGATACACGTTTCTTGTCGAAAAAAGGAGGGGGGATAAATCGTACTTTGTAAAAAATACACTCAGTTTAAAACAATTTTTTTCTGAAACTGATATTACCAAGATGCTTGATTTCTTGATTGATAACATATGTGTTACGTTTATAGGGCATGTTTTTCAACAAACCATCGGTATTCAAATTGGAACCAACTGTGCACCTCTTCTTGCCGACTTGTTCCTTTATTTATAGAGGCAGACCTCTTACAGGAGCTTCGAAAAAATGAAAAGGAGCTAGCAATTTTTTTAAACTTCAAGTTCCGCTATATAGATGATGTCCAATTACTAAATAATTCAATATTTGGTGACTATGTTGAACGCATCTATCACATCTAACGTGAAATAAAGGATACATCAGATACAGTAAACTCTGCCTCATATCTTGACCATGAAGGTTGATTGAGAACAAAAAAGATTTCATCTTCCCAATTGTGAACATTTCAGCAGCAACTGCACATGGAGTGTATATCTCCACGTTGATGCGATATTCCAGAGCTTGCATTTCCTTTTTTCATGATTTCCTTTATAGAGGGTTGCTGCTTACAAGTAAACTTTTAAACCAAGAGTTCCAAGTGGTGAAGTTGAATCCCTCCTTTCGAACATTTTACGGACGCCATCACGAATTGGTTGACCGTTAATAAATATCTGGTTCACAGATGACGACGGATATGTTCTAATTGTAGCTACCACAATCCTAAAATTGAGAATGGAAATGGGGAATGTGTCAAAGAGACAACAACCCGACCATAGAACAGACAACAGCAGAAGGTCACCAACAGGTCTTCAATGCAGCGAGAAATTCCCGCACCCGGAGGCGTCCTTCAGCTGGCCCCTAAACAAATATATATACTAGTTCAGTGATAATGAACGCCATACTAAACTCCAAATTGTACACAAGAAACTAAAATTAAAAATAATACAAGACTAACAAAGGCTAGAGGCTCCTGACTTGGGACAGGCGCAAAAATGCGGCGGGGTTAAACATGTTTATGAGATCTCAACCCTCCCCCTATACCTCTAGCCAATGTAGAAAAGTAAACGCATAACAATACGCACATTAAAATTCAGTTCAAGAGAAGTCCGAGTCTGATGTCAGAAGATGTAACCAAAGAAAATAAACAAAATGACAATAATACATAGATAACAACAGACTACTAGTAGTTAACTGACATGCCAGCTCCAGACTTCAATTAAACTGATTGAAAGATTATGTCTTCATCATATGAATATCAGGCACAATCCTTCCCGTTAGGGGTTTAGTATCATACCATCATAACATATAAGAGAAGAACATAACCCGTGTCATGCCAACAACTGGTTTTTAAATAAATGTGTTTAGTGCCGATGCAAAGACCCTATAAGTGAATCAATATTAACGCCAAAATATGCAATCTTTAATGACCTGACAACAGTATCGTAACTATATCCCTTCTTAATAAGTCTATATAAAGGTTGTGTTAGCTTCAGAGGTGAATACTGACATTTTTGTGCTTTATAAAGAATATATATTCCTGTTTCTTTTCCTCAAATGTGACCTACCAAATTAGATTTATCAACGAGTTGGTACTTACATGAGCAACACGACTGGTGCACCATGTTTACCCTTCTCGAGCACCTGAGGTCAACCCCGGTTTTCGTTACACTTATTGTAAATCTATACTACAAACACTATACTGTGTAGCTCTAAGAAATGCATGTATATCTGATAAAAATTGTCTATGTTGTTTTTTTTCAGAAATTATGTTTATCCTTTGTCACGAAAACAGTTCGTATTTTCAGCATAAGATCCCCCTTGTCATATTTTTAGGATGATAGAACAAATATGTTAATCACTTTTCTGAATGAATTTAGTAATATTATAGTTGAAGACAAGAGACATATTACATATACAACTCATTATGACATATAATATTACTAACTATGACCTTTCAGATTGACAATGTAATATGACAGCTGATGTGACTAGTATGGCGAGAAATGCTTAACTTTCAGCAGCACTTGTTCACGTTTTTTTTATCGAATTGATTTTGCTCAATCTTGAGTACTAATAGTTTGTTTAGTTGTTGATCAGATACGTGTTGAGGTCGATAGAGGAATGTATTGTTGCACTCTCAGATTGCTAGTTTTAATATTTATATAAATATAAAAAAAATCAACAGAAAGATGTTTTATAGTGATAAAATGAAGGAATATGAACCATTGATATTTCACTCACAATGAATCGGGTTCAGCTTTGCTATATCTTATAGGACAAATATTGACATAAATATCAATCGCCAAGGGATAAAGCACCCGAATACTTGTGTTTCTTCTTTGAAATGACAAAGGCTATTTGGAGCAAACGTTGGGATCTCATGATGTTCACTGACACCGTTCCTTTATACAGAGAATATATACAAAAATATTAAAATCCAAATGCCATAATTAATATGATCTTTTTCATTTTTTTTTTTTTTTGGAAAGTAGTATAATAATCCCTCTCGGAGTTAAGTTTCGATACCCAAGACTGTCACCTAGGAAAGTGAAGAAAATTTATTTTCATAAACTTTTCCTTTGAATTTCTGCCTGTATACTTAGGTGGACATCTATATAACACGTAATAAAATAATGTTTCGTCTTTCACTGATTGAGTCTTGGCATAAACATTCTTTAAGAATTTCACTCTATCAGTCAATATGATGTAACACAACATGGCAACTAATATTGCCGCCACCATTGAAACAAGTTTTATATAGAACCTTTTAGAGAAAATAAAAGTATTTAAGTTAATAATAATTAGAGATCATTTTAATGTGTAGTATAAGCATGCATACCTGCATACTGACCAACCACCAAATGATTATCATATGTGATTCTTTAAGCTATGATGAAACAATAGGAATGAAGGCCTCTTAGTTGCTCTTAAAAGCTTATTTCGTTAAGACGATTAAAACAGATGTATTTTGTTGCAATTTGGTCTTTGGCTATAGTAAAATGTTGATTTGTCAAGACAAATTGTTAATAAAAGAGGAGTACGATGTAGCAATGTGGAGGTGAAGTAATGTATGAATCTTTTCATATTTTATAGGCCATATCAGAATTATTAGAAGGCCAGCCTGACCCTAAAGCCATTTTACAGTCCTTGGGCATTTCTCCAATACTTCAAGATAAGTTAATGGATATTTTAAAAGCAAAAACATAATAGACAAAATTGAGAATTTATGATGCATTTATCATTTGTAACACTTTGGAAAAGGGTTTGTTTAATTATGTGCGTTTAATGGTTTGTTGAAAGATTTATTGTGCATGCATAGTGTTAAGTTATAAATAAATTAAATTATTTTTGTTAACTCGAAGAGGCCTGATAATACTTGAAAGATGTTTTATGTTTTAAATTGTTATAATTATGACAATTGAAATTTGCAGTGTCATTTAGTGAAGATGTGTGAAGGTTAAGAGAAAACCTTTGAGATTTAAAATATATACCAGTATATTATAAAATAAATTTGAGTATTGAAGTTTAAAATAGTTTATAATGGCATTATGTGAATACTTCATGTCGTTATTTCCCAAAGGTTCTGTGTCAGTCATTTAGAAAAAGGACTTTTTGGTTTTTTTTCTGTTTTTTTTATCATTTTTGGAGTTTCCCATACCAAAACATGTACTTGGTCATTTCTGCTTATATCATCTTCTTAATCCGCAACTTCTTCAAAACGGCTTGACAGAATTCGACCAAACTTGTTCTACATAACGCGTCACCAGTGTCTGAAAAGAAAGTTGATGAACCAGTGTTATGTCAAAGAACATCTTGTATTTTTTCTAAAAAAGTTCATCGGAAGATACCAAGATTTTTGTTGATAAATATTCCGTATCAACTTCACAAATAATACATGATGGGCCTGAAGTTCAGTGGTTGTCGTTGGTTCATGTCTGTCATATTTGTTTTTCGTTAATTTTATTGTTATAAATCAGGCCGTTAGTTTTCTCAATTGAATTGTTTCATATTTTTCATGTCGGGGCCTTTTATAGCCGACTGTACGGTTTTTTTTTTTTTTCATTGTTTAAGGCCGTACGGTTGCCTATAATTGCTTACATCCATTTTTTTTGTAACTTTGGTTGATAGTTGTCTCATTCATGATTGGCAATCATACCTCATCTCCTTATTTTTATATTGAAGTATAGATTCTAGGTACTGACGTTGTTGATCAGCTTAGTCCAAGATACTTTTGGCGTGGCTAGGCATTTATACATCCCGCCATTGTGTTATTATGCTTGGTAATTTTTGTATTCTTGTCTTTCATTTTTGCTTAACTATAAAGATGCCCGCGAAATCGCGGTACAATTGGAAAAGTGTTGAAACAAAGAGTGTGGACACAGTAATAAGGTGGACACAGTAAGGATTTGGACACGGTTAAATGCATTTAATTTTATTTATTTAAAGAGATAAAGAGATAAAAACATGATGCAAAAGACCCCCATTTATCTCGGTTGGAAAATAATAAAAATATTAAATACCCTAAGAAAAGTGTGGCAAAGTGTGATTTTTAGTAGTTTTTTACACTTTTAACTCAATAACCGTATGAGCTACGTAAAATCCGTTGACATTACCGAAAGGGATCAAAATGAATAACACAGGAGGGGTCCGGACATCGGGTGCCTGTGTTTACACATTAAAAGAGGGAGGATCATTCCGACACGTTCAACGCCCATTTCATTTTTGGACAGTTCTGCACCTGAGTAAAAAGGGTGGATGTCGTTTAATTTAGCAAAATGATGCACTTACAATACAATACAGGATCCTTATAGGCCTAACTGTCTTATTTTCTATCCATTCTTCTTAATTTCACTTGGATTTCGCGGGCAGTACGTCTACTGAGCATGCGCGAAAGCGTATAAAACACGGATCGATAACGGTCTCCGAATATGGATATTTTCTCAAAAATTGGCGTTTTCTATGGAAAAAAGATTGTTTCAAAGACAAATTTAGGAAGTACAAAATACTACATTTATACTTCATATCACAAATATTTCCGACTTTGTATAGTTTCAGAGGAGTTGCGGCAGGTTTAATCCACCATTTTCTACACAAGGAAATGCCTGTACCAAGTCGGGAATATGACAGTTGTTTTCCATTCGTTTAATGTGTTTGAGCTCTTGCTTTTGCCATTTGATAAGAGACTTACCGTTTTGAGCTTTCCTTGGAGTTCGTTTTTATTTATGAATTGTGCACTTTAAAAAAAAATATGTGTTTGATATTGGGGGTTCCGTACCGTTTCAAAAAAAATATGTGTTTGATATTGGGGGTTCCGTACCGTTTCAAACATGGACATTGCCATTTCAATTTACAGACGGTATGCAAAATTCATATCTCATTAATATTCACTCACAGTGGTGATATTTTTGTTTATATTAATGACAGCTTCGATTCATCATTTATTAAAAATCTAATTCAAAAAGAGCTTGTCCTATGCATTTATAAAACAGGGAGATGTGGTATCATTGACGATGAGACATCTATCTACAAGGACCAGGACGTAGGTCATCTTTTGGCCTTCAACAGTGAGCAAAACCAATTCCGTTTATTAAGCTATAAAAAGGCCCGGCATGACAAAATGTAAACAAGTCTAAAAAAAAACTAACGGTATGATATATGTGATAAACAATTAAAAAATCCACCATAATCAGACAGACAGCAACCAAAAATGACCCCTGAATTGCATGCTCCTGACCTTGGACAGGCACTTAAAAAAATGTGACTGTGTTACATCTGTTTGGGGGTGTTCAAACCTCACCTTACCGAGGATAGTGGTGTAACAGCACAACATGATAAAAAGCTTCGATGATGAGTAGAAATGGATTTACTCGTCAGATTAGAACGAATCATACAAAACAGCATAAAAAAAACTCAAAAGTACCTATCTTAGAGAACTCGTTTTTTTAAAGCTAGTTGAAAGTCAATTTTAACTATAAACAAACCATGTTTTCCCAGACTTTAATATCAATTGGAACACATAAAACGGGTTGAATGAAAGACGTAATAAATAATCTATGAAAAGCATGACCTTGTGCATTGGCAATATATAAGTAGCGGCAGGATGAAGAACTATATTTCTCCATTATTTTATAGCCTTACATTATTTATTTCATAACATTAGTACCGATTAAAACTATATTCTAATGTTTGGAACTATATGAAGTAATGTACTTGCTGACCGCTGTTGAAATATGAATCAGTATTTAATACAAACATTTAATGCATTCTACAGCCTAATTTTATTCAATAGCTTGGGCATTACTGCTATTTATGGGCTATAATTAGTTAAATATACTCTGAATTAGGCTTACATTAAAGTGCATGATAACTAGTTCACACTGTAAATGTGACATTGTAATATGTAATTAAAAGTTGAACATGAAATAGTGGTTTATCCTATGCATGAAATGTGCTTATAGAGAAGTTTTTGCCTTCTTGTAATGCAAATACCGGCACGTCAAAACACTTTTATCGTTGCAGTCTGAATTCATGTTGTTATCACTCTAGTGAACAGTGCCAATTGCTAGAGTAATGTTGTTAAAATATTCTTACCATCAAATTTCAACGATTTTACTTTCTCTTTCACGGGACACTGGAAGAAGCCAGCTGCTTCAGTATAAACTTATCAAAGATACAAGTCTAATACGCCAGACACGCATTTCAAGTGATGGCATTTAATAATTAATTTGTTTTAAATGTTAATTGTGCGAAGAAACACAAAATGGAAGTATTGGTTCGTAAAATAGACATCATAGGTACATAGAGTTTCTAGACATTTACCTCGAATTTGACAACAGTTGTCATCTCAAAACCAGAATCTATGACAAACGAAACGATTTCAGTTTTGAAATTATTAACTTTCTCCACCTGAGCAGCAATATTTCAACATCACCCGCGTATTGAGTATATATTTCTCAACTCATACGGTATCCAAGAGGTTTCAGCTGCTTCTCAGACTTTGTAAAACGTCATCGGTGTCTGAGTAAAAAATGGGGTTTTGTCAAAGAACTCTCGTCCTTTTTCCCAAAAAGTTAATCGTTAAGTACCAAGACTTAATAAATAATTATTCAGTGTTTACTTCAAAATAGTACAAGATGGTCTTGACTTATATATTCTGTGTATCTTTTTATTTTACTACAGTTTCCCCTGTTATTTGTCTTCGTGCTATTATGTTTCCTTTGGTCGTTTGACTAATGACGGGACTCGGTATTTACGAAACCCGCAATCGGAGTTTTGGCTTTTTAACTTTGGGTATTCCTGGTACATATCGGACCTGAGGTGCGATCCGGACACAAAGGCTTTTTACAGTGTTGTTTCGATTCTGTTTATCCTTGTATTTATATTTACTTAAATTTTACTTTATCAGCAGTGTGTACACTATATATGGTATATACTATCAACGATAGAAATCTTTTTGTTTATTTCATTGTCAAAGTTACGTCACTGGTGAGTGCTTTGTAGACAAAACGTGCGTCTAGCGTACACATTTTTATCCTGGCTTCTATGAGGGTATGAATGGGGTCCTTCATTTTTTGTATTCTTTAATTTTTATACCATTTTTCTCTATTCTTTATATTTTTGGCCCATTATTCTCTAATCTTTATATTTTAGTACCCCATTTTCTCTATTTTATATGTTTTTGGTCCATTTTTCTCTATTTATATTTTTAGCCTATTATACATTATTCTGTAAACCCCCATCCAAACCTTCATCTATGATGAATTTATTACTATCTTCTACACCTTTTTTGTTGGCGTCTTTGTTTGATTAATTTCTATTTTTGTTTGAATTTTTTGTATGATGTTTTGTAGTCTGTGATATATGGTTACTCAGTTTTGGCTTCTTGAATTTTGTCAATACAACGGAACTACAAATAACTGTCATGCAAGCGGGAAATTTGACTAGCTTTAAAATCAGGTTTACCCCATAATTTTCTTCGGAACATGCCTGTACCAATTCAGGAATATGGCAGTTGTTTTTCATTTGTTCTGATGATTAATGGCGTTAGATTTTGTCAGTTTTTAGGGGCTTCCCGATTTTGAATTTGCTTTGGAGATCGGTTTTTTTGTTCTACTTTTTTTCCAAACTGAATGCATTAAAAACATGTTTTATTCGGAGTCATTTTCTCATTATTTCAATGTTAGTTTATATTCAATTTAAATCATGATTACACACACACACATAATAATACCAACTATAATGTAATCTTTTAATGGGTAATGAATGGTAAGAAATGCTTATCCTGTCGTCGCACATGGTCTCACTTCCTTTAAAGTTCTAGCGATTCTGATTATTTTCTCTTCATATGTTTGTTACTGAATTTCGATATGCAAAATAGTGGCGATTCTGAAGTTATGTTTTTGTTTTGTTGAAGAAACTTTACCTTATCAGGAAATATTTCTTGATACATATATTTATTGATACGTTCGGTTATTGGTTAAGCTACAACTAGACTAGCAGTTTTTAAGTTTTTACAAAAATACCATCAATTTCAGTTGCCTTAAACAAAGGATATAGGGTATGCATCAATGACACAAAATCAGTACATGCACAGCAAAAAACACACAAAAAGCAAAGGAACAACGCTTTTATTGCTGTTCTTTGTCAAAAAGTCACAGTGAGGCCTTCAACACGGAGAAAAAAAACTCACCTCACTGCAAGTTAAAGACGACCCCATAACACCGGTTTCAGTCGAATTCTTTGCAAAATAATTCGGATAGACTTTGTAAGATGTAACACCACCAAATCCGGCCCGGTCAAAAAGAACATACTGGAAAGTAGTACATATTTAACGCAAAATTGTTCCTACACATAGGTGTAAATATAAAAAATTGTAGAATATATTTTGGTAATTTAGGTATCAAATGAAAGGTGAAGGACTGGTGATCCTTGTAAAACACATTTTGATGGATAATTTTGAATAATACAAAAATGTATGAATAAATTCTAAAATTGAGGGCATATAGAGCCTGTTTTTCAGATACGAAGT